TATTAAAATATTATGAAATATTAAAATAAAAAAATAAATCTTAAAGAGACTTACAAACATCTATTCTATATGGACCGATTCATATAGTTACAGAAAACCTCAAGATTTCTTTTTCAATTTTGTCTACTTCTAAAGAAATAGTTGAAGTTGATATAAATCAAATGCTGTACCTACAATCAACATCTCAGTATAGAATGTCAGTATATTTAATGACATTTTATATATTCAACTTTTCTTCCAACCTAAACTCCACAGCCTGTTGGGAAAATTTAACAGTCATTAAACTGATTTAGACCTTAGCATATCTACAGTTAATGCTCTCAACACTCTTGAAACCTAAAAATTATGCTGGAAGCACTGACACTGTCAAACAGTTAAGTATATCTTATTGCATCTGTGCATGTTAGTAGCTTCATTTAAACATCTGTGCATTTTGAGACTTTAAGTTTAATAGGGAAAAAACATTAAATCAATAATATGCCATAATAATGCAACAAGTGAGCCTTTATGCCCAAAGCTCTTCCTGTGCCACCTCAACTCAGCTTAAAGAAGTAGTTTCTCAACAGTGCCCCTCAGCCCACCACTAATCCTTACCACCATGACTGATAACTTTTTTATATGGTTCAATCGCCTTCATGTCCACCCTATGGTCCTGTTCTCCAATCCTAAACATTCGCCAGCGTCGACCATCATCTTTCTCCTCTGCCGCAGTGTATTCAGTAAGTGATCCTTTCCTAATTACATCAGTAGTTTTTGGCTTTGGAAGATCATCTGCCAAAGTTAAAACATGTTCAAGATCCATTAGGAATACTATGTATAGCAACAATCAATTACAACACAGGTTAACCACTTTGCTATTCAATCTATTTTAATATTCTTTAGCCAGTCAGACATATCAGCTGACTTAGTTCCTTCAGTCACTGCAAAGTCAGATCTCATTGGTGCCATGTATTTTATCAAAATACACTATGTGGGCAGTTATCCATTGACTGTAATTTTCTGTGTTAAAGTACATGACAAATTTCCATTCATGTAGGAAGCCTATTCAACTGTAGGCTTTCAGAACTCGGACCTTGGTGAATCTCACCAAAACAGACAAAGTGGTTAACTCCAGTGATAATTACACAGGTTGCTTGATCACAGATTTACATAAAAGCGTGATTTAAAACATTGACAGTACCTTGCAAGCAGACATGCAGGCAAATCTATTAGAAATTAAATCTAATTCACATGTGTGCAATCAATATATATGCAATTTATGCTGACAGCAATCTGTAAAACAATTTGCTCCAATTAAGTTATGATTCTTGACTTTGTTGCATAGACCTTACCCAAAGCGAGAAAAACCTACTGCAAGTTAGTTGTCTGTTCCCAAGACAAAGCTGTTAATTGAAACTATCCTTCCAGGAAAATGAAGGCAGCAGCATTAAAGGAAGAAAAGACAGAAACCCTTTTCAGCCACTTTTAAAAACAAGGCACAAGCATCCGGAACATTTCCTTTGCATCATTGCAAAACCAACCCTAAATACCAATTCTTCTTCTCTAAAATGATGAAAATCCTTTTACACAGGTAAACCCACAGTCTCTGTTATGAAGACTTCACCTGCAATATTTAATTAGCTATTAAAAAAAACCCTTATTCTAAAACATTGTTTCTTTCTCCCTTTATAAGCTATCTGTCTAGGAATGAAGAACAGGTAGTGTTTCATATGGTACAGTAGAGATCTTCCTGTTTACTCAGGAATTAAAATTATTTTATCTCCAGAATTAAAAAAATAATAATTGCATTTACATGTTTACTTAAAGACATTCTTAAGTCATGAAGTTTACAGTTCTTGGCATACATAAAAGGGTCTTAAAAGATAATTAAACTGCAAGTTTAAAACTTGTGCTTCAACTCCTACATAGAACCTTTTTACCTCAAATAAAAGTTGTTAGACTCTCCAGGTTTTGCCTATAAGAGTAAGATGAAGCGTCTATTCATTTCTTAAAATTAAGATCATTACTAGTGTGGCTATAGCCAAGTTAACTTCCTATCAAGTCATTTCAGAATTCCTTGACACAAAACAGAAGCTCTTTACCACTTCCAGTCAATCCAGAAAGCATGCGAACTCTCTGGCTACTGACCTTTTGCCATTCTCACCACAGTAAGATATGAGAACAAGTGTTACTCAGTATTTTTAAAAATACCAATCAATCCTCCTTAAATAGAAAGTCTTGCAATTCATGGATTTCTGACTAGCTAATCTATAATCTATCTCCCATTATATGGTTCACTTTCATTTAAAAATAATCTATAATACATGTAAAACACTTCTGATTGTTTTTTTTTCCCCATGGTTGGTTCTTAAAAACATACTGCAATGGAGAAGATTTTCCATAGCTTGGAGTCTTACAGGTGTTTAGTGACATTCACCTAAGTTTATGTGGAGTTACAGCCATTACATTGCCTTATTACTAGTCTTTAAAACATTAATTGTGCCTATTTCCGATTTCTAATCTATTCACTCCTTTTATATTTTTCCTCGTGTAATATTGAGTCAGTTATTTCCCACCTAAAAAACTGCTGACCTGCACATAAAAAGTAGAAATATTTTAGGGCATCGGACAAAAGTAACAAAACACTTACCTTCCCATTCAAACTCATTGCTATTTTCTGAAGGAGTATCTAAACCGTCCAAATCAATTTCTCCACTCTCATCCAAGTCATCAGACAAAACAGATTCCTCACTGTGATCCAAAGTTAAGCTAATATCTGGAGCCATTAGTTTCTTCCTCACTTTGGTTCCATTAACTTCTGAATTTAAAAAAGAAAATTATTTCTTTTCAAAGCTAAAGCAAGTTTAGGTAAGTGTATTAACAAGACAGAAGAGCACATTGCTTCCTCAGAACACATTGTAAGTTAACGCCCGTAACTTAAATGATGTATCTTTGGAATAAGAACTAAACACAGGGTGGAAAGAGCAGCACTTGGAGGTCAAAGTTCTCAAGTCTTCAAGACTAAGTTTACCCCACTGCATACAGGCTATGATGACATTGGTAGACCACCATACTCCCTACAGAAGAAAAACCTGAAGTGCTGCCACCACCTAAGCAAATATTACCCTTGCTAGTTCTATCAAAGTGTACCATGAGTTGTTCTAGATTTTATACTAAATAAGTCTTGCAAATAATGCTACAGATTCACATCCCTAGCCCTTGCTGTTAGGTATTGGTAACATCATAACCATCTTTGATGAAATAAAAAATAATATACAAGCTGCAAAAGAAAGAAGGCTGACAGACAACAGTGAGGACAGAAAATTAAAGAAACTACTAAGTGAATACACAGCATGTTTTGAGACACAAGGCAAATACTTGTGTGACTTAGACAGCAGTTGAAAGCAAAGAATAAAATAAATGACTGATCCAGCACTGAAAATGCCACAACTACAGCAGACAGACAAGATCAAAAAAATTTTAAAATGTAAAAAAACCCCATCTGTATTATTTCCCCTCTGACCATGTGGACAGGCAACGTCCTTAAAAGGCCACAAGCGTCTGAAATTTGGAGCGAAACTAAGGTAAGCCTTAACTGATGCATAGAAGCCAAATAATGAACCAAGATTTTAAGACAGGTCAGGATCCATTTTTGTCCAGTATTACCTGGATACCTCTGTTCTCAGGGTGGATGAATATTTTATTCCGAAACCCTTTTCTTTCTAGACAAGACGTTTAACACTTCACGTACAAAAACATCATTTAGAATGCTGTTTCCTCAAGCTTGACTCCAAAAAAAAAACCCAAACCAAAAATACACCCTAAACCAAAACAGAGCTTCAAAACAGCCATCTAAGTAGGAAGCAGTCAGCTCGACTGGTGCGGAAGGTTCTTACCAGCTTCACTTTCTGTCCCAGCTGCAGCCAATATATCTGACTCAACAGGATCATCCTCTGGCAGGGGCCTGGTGCACAAAGTAGAAATTAATGTTACAAAACTTTTTTGTTTTTTAAATAGCCAGCTAAACACCAAACATTTAGACGTAGGCACTACTAAAAAACACCACTGTGGGATAGTACTGAACTATATTTACTTATAGCCTAAGTTCAAGCTTTCAGCAAAGAAACTAGGAAAGCAGCAAATTCCTTCACAGCATTCAAGCGACCATCTGTCTATGTGACAAATGCCAAAATACTGGTTGCTATTAACATGTGTCATCCTTAAGAAAACTTGTCATATTCTTCCTTGAGAAAACGTCACATTAAATACATGAGAGAAGTAGTTTAGTCATGTTATTACAAAATGCCTCTGAAGTCAGCTGGTTTAGTTTCTTCACAGGCCCAAGCATCACTAGCAGTCTTAACCATTAAAAATTTGGCTCAGAAATGTTGCTTAATGAAATATTTGGTTCTTCAGACACTGGTAATAATATGCAAACAATGCAGCTGCAAAAGATGACCACAGAAAACAAAGCCAAACTTACAAATTTTCACTTTAGTAACACTGGAAGCTTGAACAGTGGCATTCCTGTACTACTTAACTTACACATGAACATGAAGTGATCCCTTCCCAGACCATGAAGAAACATGCCACAAAACCTTTTCAAGTCCACTATATTACTGGAAAGCACTTCAAAATTATTATTGAGAGTTAGTTCACCAGGAAGATAACGAGGTAGTTTATTCTGGATGTTACGCATTTGATTTGAATTACTTAAAAAAAAAAAAAAATTAAAAACCTTGGAAAATCTTCATCTTGCCATTCTTCCTTAAACTCAACACCTTCCATTCTCCAGCCAACTTGAATTGCTAATAGAGACTCCTGATCAGCCAGAACCTCTTGTCTTCAGGACAGTGGGCTAAAGAGGAGCTGCAAGAAGATAACAGAAGATGCTAGTTCAATACTACTGTAATTCCCATGCTTGCAACACAGCCTTTCACTTATCACTAAGTTGAGGTATTATGCTGGGGGGTGGGGGGATGGAACCAAAACAAAACAGAGAAAATATTATGTTTTGTTTCCATTTTATTTTTCTCATACAAAACTGCTTATGGAATGGTTTATCGTACAGTAATTTAGCTTGGAAGGGATCTCCTGCAGTCCAATGCCCTGCAGCATAAAGCCTCTCAATTCAAATCAAGGCCCTGTGCAACCTGAGCTATCATTTAGGGTTACACCAGCTCACTCCAAACTGTAAGAAACCTGACAGCTCTCTAGATTCTATAGGAGATAATGAATAAGTGTATATTTTGAGAAAAAAACCAACATCAGATGGGCAGATCTAAAATAGAAATCACTTCTTAAAAAAAAAAACCACAACAAAACAAACACTTTAAAGATAACTATTTCTGAAGGTGTTTTCAGAGAACTCACCCTGTGATATGGAAGTGAAGTTGTGTTTTTTCAGGTTTACCCATCACCAGCAACAAGGAATCCCCAACAATGGAACATAATAAACCATTTTGCTGACCTACAAGTCCAAGCCAGTTGAAGTTCTTGACTGCGTTGGCTCTAAAGATTGGCAGGAAAAGGAAAAGGCAAACTTATCAATGAAGATGTTAAAAAAATTAACACCAATCAAAAGAGGAAACTGAATATTTTTAAACGCAAATAAGCAATCAATACAGAACACGAGTAAGTACAAAGTCTCAATGCAATCATACTGCTAATTCAGCCAGAGACACAATCTATTTTTTACGTGGCTAAAAAAGAAACATTACATTTACTGTTCTGTAGGATCATCATCTTTCACAACAAATCTCAATTTTTCTTTTCATGACCTGATTATAACCACAGACAGATTTTAAAACGTTCTGCAACGCTCAAAGCAACACTAGATAAGCTGATAAAAAAAAAAAATTAAACAACTACTTTTTTGTAAAACTGCAGTATCAGAGATAAATTTAACACTAACGACCCAAACTTAAACTTATTTTACTGACATTTCCCTGCTTCCCTCACCCAGGAAATTGAAATAAAATTTCTAGAAGGTAGCAAGCTATTTCCTCTCAAGGGTCAGACTCTCCTTCTTTGAATTGTTCAGCCCTTGCACCACTCAGCTGCTGGCAGTATGTGCCTGTGCACACAATCTCCAAGGAGTTGTCCCCAGCAATTGTCCTCCCACTTGCCCTCTTTCTATTTGTCCTTTTTGAAAATACGCTGTTAGGAGCAGTTTCTTGCTGCTCGAATCATATGGCTTTCCTCACGAAACATACCCATCTTTCATTACGGTGCTGATATTCTCAGCATACAGTTTCTCCTGGACACTAACCTGCTGAGTGCTTGCAACAATGAACTGTAAATATTTGCTTGGAGATAAAATCATATTTTGATCAGCAGCAACAGTGAATACGTGCATAGTTCTTTATGCATTTGTTTCAGGACACTGAGATGAAGTACGAGAAGTCAAGGTGCCCTAAGCAGTCGAGGTAAGTCAAGTCTGATTTAAAGGCCAAACTTCAACACATCACAGAACATCAGGATGCAGAATTGCCATGTGGTTCCGTTCTCTTACTGGCACCACTGGATTTTGGTGCATAACAATGCCTTTTATACTTTTAAGTATCTCAACAGGCAAGTTACAATATTACAAAACGAAAAAAAAGTATCACAAGGAAACACACCACTAAAACCCACTACCTCTTCCACTACAGCTAATGAACGGATTTCCATTTCCGGAACACCAGGTTAAACCTACTTAAGTTTGCATCTGAAGAGTATTACTGCTTGCAGCAGAAGTCAAACATCAGTGTCCTCATCCTTTTTCCTGGAAGAAGAGATACTTTTCAGAGTTCTCTCATTAATACCAAGCTGGCTTTGTTGGTAGATCCTAGAATACTAAATACGACAGTGTAAGAAGCCTATTATAAATTGCCATTTTTAAAAACTTAGTTTACAGCTAAACAGACACGCTAATCTGTCCCAGATATTTAAAAAGAAAAAAGGCACTAGAATGCACGAGACCGTTTCTTTCATGAAGTCAAAGACCCCTTGCAGAAATTATCTTTTAGGTTTTCACCCTTGAGTTCTCAGAAGAATACACAAATAAACAGGAGTTAAGCATTTATATGGTGTCCTGGTTTTGACTAGGACAGAGTTAGTTTTTCTTTTCAGCAGCTAGAAGAGCTCTGTGTTTTGGATTTAGTACGGGATTTGTTATGGGAAGAATGTTGATAGCGCACTGATGCTTGGAGTTGGTACTGAGACCGCAAGGACCTTTTAGCTTCCCATTTTTGCCAGCGTGCATTAATCTGGGCCTAGAAAAGCAAGTCTTGTGGCAACATGGCAGCCCAGAAAGAATTGAAGAAATGACAACCGGATGGTTGGAAATGTGTGCCGTGCTCCATATGGTCATGTCTGCCTATCCAGTACAAACGCCTATATTCAGTCCTTGATCAGCACCTCAGCATGTGAAATTGAAAAAATACCAAGTTAATTTTGCAAGACAATGACAATGATGAGCACACTACTGAACTGTGTACCCCATCGGCGAAGAGGAGCATGCTGCTTCAGTCTCAGAAAGTTGAAATCAATTTCAAAAGAGGTTAGCCTCCTTTTTTCTACATTTCATCTTCACCGTTTCAACAGGAACATTAACTGAGCATAGTTAAGTGAATTGCAGATTCCAGGCACTAAAGAGGTGCCTCTAAGAGTATTTTCCATCCTTGATTTTACAGTAAGCCAAAAGTAAGGAAGAGATATATTTTCTGGTACGCATATCCATGTGGTGCAGCTCACTACAATTTCTAAACGTTTTTATAATCCCATGGGCTTTTTTGGCCACACTAGCCATGATCCCAGGAAACATTTCCTAGATCTGAAGACAGACATCCAAACTTCACCACTTGCACTTTTGCACAATGAAGTCATGCAAAGATTTTAATAATAATAGCCAATTCTTCATCTCCTATTACTCCCTTCTTTCAGCATCAAAGCATGGATAAATCAGCCAGCTAAAAGAGAAAACTTTTGAAAACACTCTTGCTTTCATCGCTGAGGATAATTCTTTAAGCCCCACATCCAGAGCAACAGAAGATCCTGCACTTCTGAGTCACTGAGGTTCTTTTAGAGGTAAATTCTAACTTGTTAGACAACAGTCAAAAAGAATTTATATCCTGCCTAAATACAAGCAATATGACATTGCAAGATTTAAATATGCATACAAGTTAACCAGAAACAATTAATTGCTACTTAGTGCCCTACATTAGTAGCGAGAAATAAGGAGGAACTAAACCAAAAGGCACTAGAAAGCACCGCTAGCGTCTCTGTGCACCAGGCGTTTTCTAAACCTGCATGGGACGAA